ACAGCACACACACGCGCACGCACACACAAACACAAACGCGCACACACTCTCTCTCTCTCGCTCGCACACACACACACACACACACACACACACACACACGCGCACACACAAGGAATACAACGATGTTTCGTACACTGTCTAACTTTAACCTCGTAGTTAATATGCAAGCAACAATAATTATTATCCTAAACTATCACTCGTGGAAGCTGCGTTCTCGCGCCGTTCCTCAGCAACGCATTTAACCGAACAAAGACGCTGCGTGTGTCCGATAACGCTTAGTAAATGAATTGTCGGTTTAAGATGAACGGCTTGCCATCTTGCTGTTGACATGTATGTATTATCGTCAGATTGTCCGGTGACGTAGTGTACGTAGGCGCGCGCTCATGTAATAGATGATGTATCGGGAAGGTAATGGTTCGCATATAAATGTGGTGGTTATCAGCGACTACGAATGACTGTACGCTCCCTATCTGAATGCGCTATGCTCTCATTGAATTTCCCGCGCGAGGCATCTCCGACACTATCCGTCTACCATGGCGATCTGTCATTGCTCTTCGCACTGCAGTCTATGAAGTGACAAGCAAATTGCCGTTTGGAAATGTGTACAACCATCAAGAAACGACCGCCCAACCTGTGTAATGAAAAGCGTCATGGCTTTAGCGCAGTTGCGTCGGTGAAACTGGTTAACAGAGAGTCGTGCTTGTTTCATCTTTCAGCTGACGCTCAACTACAGTACTATAGACAAATATATATGTATATATATATATATATTTATGAGCTCGCCTCTCTCCTCGCTATGGCTTCTTGTTTCTGGCGAATTTACCGCTAGTGAACGCCACTATGTTCGTCTTTTCTTATTATATACATCTGCGCAGCGAACGAACTAGAATGGTTAGAAATTGAGTATTTAATGAAACGAGAGGAGGGCTTCACGCAGGAAGGTATCCAGCTGAGGAAGAGATAGGAAGGCTAACAATAATCTCGTTTCTGCGTATAGCTCGTTTTTCGGAGCCCCTCGCTGTGTGTCTGCGAGTGTAGAACAACTTACTAAATATACGTATCCAATCTTTGCAAAAAATGGTTTAATTCTGAGAAAAGCGGATTGTTTCATGTTGACGGGTTTGCCGTTCATGTTAAACAGCATTTATGTGGTGACTGTGGCTTTCAAAGTATCGTCCGTCCAACATTCTCCACCCTACGTTCCTTATAAAGCATTAAAATATCATGTATAATACTCATGTATATCCATATTAGCATTATTTGTCTATCTCATGCACTATTATATCTGGGTTTATTCCCGGTTGGCCTACTCCCATTTCGCCTACAGCAAAATTCACAGTTGGCCTACACCCATTTCGCCTATTCCCAATTCGTCTACGCTCAAAATCTACCCCATTGCCGTTTCGTCTACGATCGGTTTGTTCACTAAATAATCATTTTTAAATAATAAAATATGGTTTTGATTGATATACATAGTCTACAGGAACCAGAAGAAAACATAGGTACAAATAATGAGAACACAATTTGACAAAAATAGAAATTCCAGTAGAATAATGGGAGTAGGCGAAATGGGAATATTGCCGATTCTGAGAGTAGACGAAATGGGAGTAGGCGAAATGGGAATATTGCCGATTCTGAGAGTAGACGAAATGGGAGTAGGCGAAATGGGAGTAGGCCAACTGGGACGTTACCTATATCTGACCGTCTATTTGTCTTTGCCTTTCTACAAACGTTCGCTGACCAAATATTTAATGTTGTTAATTGATATACTGCACAGTTCTATGCGTGTACGAGATTTTGCGGTTATATCTAATTATTCACACAATTGGATTAGTTTAATTCCCATAATTTTATCATAAAAATACGCTGTTTAGAGGTAGATTCGCATTTCTGTACCGTCCAGGGATGATTATTTATTGTATCAAGAATTTGTATCATAAATTATTTTGACTCTGACATGGTGGAATGCTCTCTGATCTGCACCACCCTGATTTCGGGAGTTTCCTTTTCTGCACGATTCGGCCGTAACCCTATATATTTACGAGAAAAGAAACCGACAAAGAGAATTACCACGCTGTCATATACACACATACACCCATCTGTAATTAATCTTCACGGTCTCCCACAAATACCAGTCTACTCACTCCTAACAATTTCTGACGAACTACAGTATGATCATAGCGAGCTTGCTTCAAATCTATATACGCATCTCTCCCCGCGCACGCACGCACGCACGAACACACATTCTCTATCAATATCGCACTCTGCGCTACCGCACTCGCTCACTCGTTCACTCACTCACTCACTCACTCACTCACTCACTCACTCACTCACTCACTCACTCACTCACTCACTCACTCACCCACCCACCCAGCCTCACCCACAACTCACTCACCCACCCACCCAGCCTCACTCACTTACTCACTCACTCACTCACTAACTCACTCACCCACCCACCCAGCCACTCACTCACTCACTCGTTCAACCATCCATCCAGCCTCACTCACTCACTCACTCACTCACTCACTCACTCACTCACTCACTCACTCACTCACTCACTCACTCACTCACTCACTCACTCACTCACTCACTCGCTCTCTCTATCTCTCTCTTCCGCAGACGCATGCGGCCTGTCCGACCAGGCGCACATCGAGAGCCTGCAGGAGAAGTCGCAGTGCGCGCTCGAGGAGTACTGTCGCACGCAGTACCCGAACCAGCCGACGCGCTTCGGCAAGCTGCTGCTGCGGCTGCCGTCGCTGCGCACCGTCAGCTCGTCGGTCATCGAACAGCTGTTCTTCGTGCGCCTCGTCGGCAAGACGCCCATCGAGACGCTCATCCGCGACATGCTGCTCAGCGGAAGCTCGTTCAACTGGCCCTACATGGCGATCCAATAGCCGACGGGGGTAGGGAGGAGGGAGGGAGGCTGGTGGGGCGCCGCCTTCCCTCCCTCCACGCTCACGGGGAGCGGTGGTGGTGACGCGAATAGACGCGCTCCCTCTGGCCACCGGGATGCCGCGGCGGCGCCCCCTGGCTGCTGGTGGGGGTGGGGGTGGGGGTGAGTGGCATGCGAAGAAGAGACATGCGCACATAGTACAGAGAGGTCCAAATATAGACGCGTGGTGAGTGGTAGTGAAGGGGTTTTCAGGCAAGGCGGTGTCAGAGAGACTTGTTGTCAAGGTATCGCGTAAAGAATCAACGAAATATCCGAGTGCAATGTGTATGTGCGGAGCGGCAATGATCGTCCGCGATGGTGAGGGCGTCTACTGGTCTTGAAGCTAGCAATTCGGCTCGTAGCAAGGGTGCACGTGCTCTACCAGAAAGGCAATACCATTATCACGCTCTACCAGCGTGCAGTGTTTCAGTAAGAATATCACGTGAGAGCCGCCAGAATAGGACAGTAAGTGCGTAAGCACTGATAACACGATCTCATCGCGTTCGGCTAGCCAGATATCGAAGCCACTGATCCACTTCCGTCAATTCGCTACACCGAGACGGTAAGACATATAGTGGCCAAAGAAGAAGAAAAACACAAATAATGTCTGTCTAGTGACCGCAGTGCCGCAAAAATGTAAATGGCGTACCGACGAACTATAAAACAATCGGTTGCCTACTGACCGAATTTAGGGTGGACATTTGCGCGCGCCATCAATTGCCTGTTCACGGCATCATCAATTTTGCGGTAGAGTAAGTGCGTTACAGTTCACACATTGGAGCTCTAGCCAGGTTGCTGCAGGGCGTTGTGTGCTACCATGTACCCTGTTATGTAGGCGGATAGTGTGGCAAGCACTCCTTCTCCTCAGCGTCGACTGCTGGTGTTGCCCCCGTAGTATTCTCACATACATACTCTCACTCTCTCACTATTTCTCTCCGTCTATCGTCTCCGTCTATATCTCTCTGTCTCGCTTTCGCTCTTTGCCTCTGTTTATCTATCTATCTATTATCTATCTATCTATCTATCTATCTATCTATCTATCTATCTATCTATCTATCTATCTATCTATCTATCTATCTATCTATCAATCTATCTATCTCTGTCTGTTTCTCTCGCGCGCTCTTCCCCTCTCACTATCTTCCGTTTCCTCTTGTCTGTGTCGTGCATTTCGTCTTACGCCATCATAAGAACGAGTCGCAACCTAGACAGCGAAGAAGTGAAAGAAAAACTTCACGGTTTTTAGACAGTAAAAATAGCTTGTATTTATTACGCGTTACGAAGGAATTCTGTGTTCCCGTTACACTGGACCGCATTGTATCGGGAAGTGTCGGGCGTCGAGGTGGTGGGAGTGAGTAGGGGGGACTCGGGTGGATGCGCGTGCGGCGGAACGATCGTGCCCAGGCAGTGTTCGCTAACGATCGAGTCCCAGAAACTCGAGCGTTCGCCTCCCAGAGAACACGTGAGCTGTAGGCATGAGCTAAGAACGATAAATATAATTATCTGCATTTTAACTAAGCAGATGAGCTGGCGGGCTGATGGAGAGGGCCAGGAAAGAAGGGATGAGTAAAAGAAAGTATGCGTGTAGTGAGTACTGCATTGCATACACGCCGGTTTAGGGAGACATGTTAAGGCCAGTTAATGTTGGTCTAATGCTTACGCATTAGGCCATATTATATTTGCATCAACATCATGCAGAGTTTACGTGGCAGGGATAAACCTACTGAAAGTGCAATCCAATCTGTAAACAATATTCTGCCATTTTATAAAGATGCGAGTTGAAGAATGTATAATGTGTAGTTACAGTAATTGGCGTATTTTCATTTTTCCAGCCTGCTCAATCGCACTTGGTTCGATAAAACGTATTACAATATACTTCATTACGATCATGTGCAGAATATTTCGTCGGTACAACTCTCACATGTCGTTTACATGTAATTTGACAATACTTAGCCTTCAAGCTCAGGTTGTACTTTTATCCGTTTAAAATATAGTGCGCGACATCTCACAAAGCAATTTTTCCGAACCGGTATAATTTTCGTATAAATATCAATATATACGAAAGGTGATGCTATCGAATCCGGGTTACAGATTAGAAATAATTTAGCGAACCATGCCACGCAAAGGCCTATCAAATATTGATACGCTCTTCGTCATGCTACACTATGTTGTGGAATTTTTTTGGGAAACGGCGTTTCGTAGGTGCTTTCAATTCATCAGATTACTGTAGCAGGTCAGAATAAGCAAACCATGATACGAAAAATAAGGGCTTGCACATTACACTTGCGCGTTGTTGAATTATTGCAATATTAGTTGTTTATTAGTGGGAGGCTGTAAGTGTAATACAAGTCAACAGCGTATTTGTTGCGGTTAGTCGCCGGTCGGTTTACGTGTATGTGTGTGTGTCTGTGTACGAGTTCGCCACAGGTTCGGCTGCGCGTGTGCGTGAATGCACGCGCGCATGCGTGCGTCGGCCGGTTTTCAGGTGTTCCGCTAAAATCGTTTTTTGGGGTGCGCACGCACGCACGCACGAGAATCGCCGCTTGTTCTCGTTCGCCTACTAAACGAATCCTCGACCTTCCCGTTTATGAGTAATGCCATGATTCGCGGAAATGCTCGAATCGCGGGATGACGAGGTGATGGGCGATTGCTGGGATACGTCGCTCTACGGACACGCTCGTACGTGTTGTAGATGCGAGAATGTCATCATCGGTAGATCATCAGTAACGTTTTCGATGCTAGACGGTCGCCCAGCATACCTGCACGGCCTCCGCCACCATCTACCAAGCCTCCTGGTATATTGGCTAGGAGTTGCTAGCGGTGATTCTCTAACGAAATCACCGCTGCGTTATACCTAGCATGTCGCTTCACTCAGTCAGTCATTCAACCAAAAGATGTTATACGTGTTCATACTATTATATATTTAGAGACAACCAGTCGTTATGGCCAACATGCGTGGCAAAAGAGCCAGATAAATAGCTGCACGATGTTTGTTTACCGTATTTTATATTCGTATCAGTGGCAAGCTCATGATGTCCAGTATAATGCACATGTGCGTGAACACTCACTGATATGCAATATCTCATCCTTCAGAGCAAAGAATATTAATCAGAAAAGTTTATCTGGCTCTCTTGCTATTTTTGTGTGTACATTAATATTGTTTGTCCATATTTTGATATATTGTATTTAGTATAAAAAGTTTGTTATTAAAGTCGTATTGGTCGTATAAATGTATAGAATAATAATAATGTAAAAAAATACCTGTATATACAGAGATGCTATATACAATATCACATGCACTGATATTACATGATGTCAAGCTCGCATGGTGATACCGTATAGTCCACTGCAACGATTGTCCTGCGAACCAAGCTTGTCTTAAGTGTGTAATACTAAGTAAAGTGTAATCATAACCAGCGCACGGATATAAAAAAATAGTACAAAACCACAATTTTATGTTCGGGGACTCTGCAGTAAGTGTTTCCCAAAGATTTTATTTCTATTCTGTGTGGTCTGTAAAGTTGAAAATATTATTGTAATTTGCGTTTAGGCTTGCAGTGAACAGCGGGTAAGGTCACCACCGTTGTAACAGGTTATGTGTGCATGTACATGTGCTTTTCAGCAAACAATTGTCAAAACTCAGTACTGGTTTCTGAAATACGATTGTACATGTGCTATTATGCAATATATTCATTGACACCAGTCATGAAATATTTATTGTCTTTGATGTTTGAGTGTTCATTCGTACGTATCAGCTTTCTAGTGCAAATGAGTACACCGAAATATTAATAGCATTTCAAACGCATTTCAAAAAGAATCTTATTATTTATTTATCTAGTACAAACTATAATAATATTATAAATATAAAGCATTGAAATAATACCAATGCGGCCACCACACACAGTCGCGCGCACGCACGCACGCCCACACACACGCACGCACGCACACACACGCACACACACCACACGCACACACACACACCACCACACACACAACACACAACACACACACCAATAATATTATATAGTATATATTATTAAATATGAATAATTAAATAAATAAATACAAAAACAAATGTAAGACGTTTGTGCTTTAATATAAAACAATACGAAAAAGAAAAATAATTATTAAATAATAAGCTCAAGCCATATATAACCGATACGAATGCGGAATAGTTTTCCACAATGTCTTCATGCTCCAATAATGATTATAACGCAGATAAAAAGTGCGTGCGTGTAAGTCGTGGCGCCCCTATAAACCGTATTTACGCGTATAGCGAATAAATGACAACCACGGTTATTTTCCGCACGTATAATATAATATATATAGCGCAGCGAACAGCGGCGGTGACGTGTGACGCACAGGGGACCGTACGTGTGATGGCGGCGGCGGCGGTATCTGCCGGCACGTTAGAGATATAAATCATCGGTCGCAACGCGAGCAGCCGACGCTTACCGTCGCCGCCGACCGCCTGATTACAGAGCGCGACGTCTGATTACGTCATTTCGCGCCGACGACACGCTGAGATCGCGCGCGGCGTCCAAACGACGATAAAATTAAAATATTCACGTAAGTGGCGCGAGAGAGTGTGCGCGAGCGGAGGAAGTATGAATGTCGGACGCTGGGCTGGCGCGCGTGTGAGAGCGACGGGGGGTGAGGACGCCATTTGAGCGACGTGCACGGGAACGCACGCCCTGACGCCAATTAGAAGAGACCGACGGAACCGTCGTAGCGACCGCACATCGACCAACGCCCGCACCGGCGAATCTATATAATAGATCTAGCGCGTATATACACACACGATGACACACACACGCCACGCACGCGGCAGCACAGCCACACGAGACACACAGACAATCGCACCGCACGCACGCACGACGACACGCCCGCACGCACCCGACCGCACGCAGGCAGGACACGCAGGATGGCACGCAGGCACGCACGCACGCACGCACACACACAACACACACACCACAGCACTCACACAGCACCCACAGCACACACACACACACACACACACACACACCCACACACACACACACACACAACACTGAGATATGCGATTCGAAGCACGCGCAATAGCACAGCTACAGCTGTGCGAGCATCGAGAGACATTCTAGCGAGCGTGTGAGCTTATATATGGAACGAAAATGCAGCTATGGACTATAACAGGCTCGATTGCGTCGCGTATAGCTACGACAACTTCGACCGACTGCGGTAAAATTTACAGAAGGTGACGCAGAGGTTACGAATGTCCGACAATGACGCACGGACGCTCCTGCATCTATTCCACTATGGACGAGTCACGAATACGCGCTAACTACCCGCGTGATCGGCACATATACGAACTAAACCAGCATCTAGAACCACCGGAGCTTTGAATTCTGAACAATAGTCCTATGAAAAAAATGTGCATACGAAATGAGGTGTGATCGTTAATTGCCGGCCCTCTGTACACGCGTACAAACGCTGCGGCTGCTGTAACCTACCATATCGATGTTAGAGATAGATTATGGCGATCGAGCGGCTTTAATAAGAATGCCAATGTGTTTATATTTTGGCGACAACGAAATATAGAATAAATATAGTAATAAGATAGAATAATAATAAATGAAGAAATGTAAATAACTATAAAAATGAATAAATGTAAAATCTAAAATAAAATGCACACGTATTACGCCACACGCACGCACGCACGCACGCACGCACGGCAACGCAGCGCAGCGCACGGCGACGCACACAGCGCCACACACACACACCACACACACACACCACATACATACACACGCACGCAGACACACACACGCGCGTGTGAGTGTGTGTACGTGAAGTGGCTCATATGTCTCCTTTACGCCTTTACACGTAGAGCGAACACAGCAGACAAGGCGGCGGCGATCGCGAGCTAGAGTTCGCCAACAGCACACAAGCGGTTCTCGGTAGCGTGAGTCAGAAACTCCCGTAAATAGACGAGCACTCGCTTATT